TTCGGATCGACAGGAACGTTAACACCGATCTTGAACATCTGACTGGCCTGGGTGTCGAGAAGGTTCTGAGTTTTCTGTGCGTTGTTGAGGAGGCTCTGTGTCTGTTCTTGCAGCCTCTGGATGTCTGTGATGTGAGGCAGGAAGGAGTCCTGTAAGACTGTGTTCTGGGTGTTCTGTAGGACTTGCTGGGTTGAGTTCTGGGGGTCTAAGGGCCCACTGCCAGCTGTCTCGGTTCGCCGGCCCTCTTCTGTAGAGTTTCCCATCTCTCCACCCTCCCTTTCTGTATAGTGGTAGAGAAAAGGGTGTTTGTAGTATCATCAATCAATTTAGGATTGATCAAGAAATTTATGAAATCAACACAGCATTTTTTAGCCTGGGTGCCATCTGATTTGTAACGGCAACCCCGGAGATGCCATTACAAATCGGATGGCACCCAGGCTATGCATTTTTGGCATATTGCTATACTTTAGCACTTCAAGTTTAACAGCTACATGTATTTCAAGTTCAGAAGACAAATTGAAAAGTTAAACTTGCAAACTGCTTTTGTTCCTCACAAAGCTATCAGTAACATTCTGTTGAGAAGAAATAGTAGTTTTTTTTTTTTTTTGTAAATCAGAAACTGGTAAAATACAACACTGCTGGGAAACAGCTATTATAAAAACAAACCTACCACCATCTTACTTTACACCTTTCCTGTCAGACCTCTCAAGTTAAATCAAACAAAGGAAAGAAAACAAGACCCACATGTATACACTCTGCTTCAGTGAGGATAACACTTCCTCTCATTTGCAAATTATTCTCTCTTAGCGTGCATTGTTAGTCCAGTGGACTTAATACAGGCCTCGAAAAGCACTTTTGGGAGTAGGTGTACTAGTGCACCCAGCCAAAAAAATTTGCACAGGAATTTTTTTTGGTGCACCATATGGAATAATCTTATACATTAAAAAGTCTGTATTCTTTTTCTGACATTTAGATGTCAAGAGTAAACTGTATGTAAACAAACAGAAATATTTGGGTGCACTGGTGTACCCACAGAAGAAAATTGGGTGCATAGCTCCAATTTTTGGTGCACCAAGGTGCACATGCACCCAGTATATCCAGCCCTGTACTAGTTTTGCCTGGTTACCAAACCTATTATACCTCCCGAGTCCTACAGCCTCTCCGCAAATAGGCTGTAGGACTCGGGAGCTATAATAGGTTTGGTAACCAGGCTAGTACTAGTTATGGTGTAATATGGACAAGGCCAATTGTATCCTGACCCCCTGATGTGCGTGATCTCTCCACTGCCCCTCTACATGAAACCAGCTGTTTTCAGTCAGCACACTGGGTTATCTTAAGGACCTTAAGGTGTTACCTGTGCACAGAACTTGACCTTGAAGGCCAACCAACTCTTCTCAGGAATTAAACCAGAAATGGCAATTGTCAAAATGCATAAAACATATAGGAAAATTTACATCTCAAGCCATATGTATACGGGAAAAGCAAATAAAAAACTTAGCATATTTGTCAAATTCTGGAACTTGACAAATATGAGAATCTATACAAAAAAAGCCATACAACAAATTTTTAAATAACATCAGTGAAAATAAGGTGTGAATTTTATTTTTCATCAGAGAGATCAAACCTTCATGTTTGTGATTCTTCTTGACTATCTTAAGAGCCACTTTTCTCCTAATTTCTTTTTCAATTCTATTTTTAAGTAGCAATTAATGGCAGTGGTCTACTTTCAAAAGTTAAACATACATTTTTAGTCAAGAGGGGGAAATAGATGTATGCAGGTGTTTTTTTTAATTACCCCTTGATAAATATGGGCAGTTTCAGGCCAACGTTACTTTTGCTATTTCTGTTTAGTAATCTTAAGGTCTCCATTTGAAGTGGAGTCCTTGCCCAAAGAAGGTATACGAAAACAAAACTTGTGAGAAGGCCCAAGGGCTGTATTACCCTAAAACTGGGACTTGGTATTTTGATCTACTGTACTGATTCCTTTGGCTTCTTCCAAGTGTAGAATTAAGACTACTAAAAGAAAATGTCATCAATCAATTTATGAGTGATTTTTTAAACGTCTTTTCATGTTCTATCAAATTTAAATGGAAAATTTACGAAATTATCATAAAAACTTCTGTGACTTCAAGGCATAATAGTTGCAACTGTAGACATAGGCAAGGTGGTTTAAAATGCTTCAAGCCTTAGTTGGACTAGATTAGATAACTTTAATTTATAATATTCAACTAAGTAGAAGCTGATGAATTCTTTAAATTTCTTCATAAAAAGAATTAAGATGTCATCAATCAATTTAGGATTGATCAAGAAATGTATGAAATCAGTGCATCTCAGGGGTAACTACAGTTTCTTTTAAATTAATACAGTTTTAGAATAGAATCTTCAGCCAGGTTGGAAACATGGAATTTAACTTTCTTTATACTCACAATTAACTGATTTAGAAATTTTAGATGGATCAAGAAATGTCAAAAATTTATGAAATCAGTGCATATCAGTAAGCTTTAGATGTTAATTTTGCAGTGTATCTTTTAGTTTTAGGGTAGAGAGGAATTTTCAGCATTAGGTAGAAGCTGTGAAATTCTTTAACTTTCTTCATCATAAGAATCAAAATGACATCAATCGATGTTAGCACAGATCAAGAAAATTTATTTCAGAAATCAGTGAATTTCAGGGCTTTTACTTTTAGAATAGAGGAGAATCTTCAATCAGACATTTAACTTTTTTTAGGTTTAATAGTCCGATATCTTCAATGAACTTTTGATTGATCAAGATATGTCTGAAATTTGTGAAATCAGTGCATTTTAGTAAGATTTAAGTGTTAGTTTTGGTGTGTGAGTGTGGTTGAGAAGTCCCCATCGCGGGGCCCCAGCCTTAAACAGCAGCAGTTTTCAGTCGGCAGCCAGGCTTGTCACGCACACTCACGCACACTGAGCACCCACAAACACCGGGGGGCCACTCAGGCACACAGAGACGTGCCCTGGGTACATTCCTGCAGACAGCAGTGTGCAAATAACTCGCCTTCAGAGCCAGAGGTCGCGGCAGGCAGGATTAAAGCGTAATAGGAAACACTCGCTGTGCTTAGATCTCTTCTCACGCACGCACGCACACTGTTACACTACAGGAATATCCGCTTCGGTCAAAACAAGCGGGAAAATGCAGTGAGAATCTGTTTTAAGAAAAGTCGTTTGCAAATGCGGACGTCGCGGTTGTGGAAACGTGTCACTTGCTCTGGCGGATTGTGTATTGACTTAACGTGTAAACACTGAGCACAATCACGCATATATTCACGCTCTCCCACAGTGTTTGTTGTTGGGTGTTACTGGCGTGTCTCTTCTTGCAAAGCGATCGGTTTCGTGTCTGAAAACTAGGCTAGTTCGACAAGGAAGAATGCTGCTCGGTGGGTCGTTTCCAGGCCTGCTAATGGAAACATTCTGTGCAGGGGTAACTCGACACGCAAGCTAGGCTGTTCAGATATGCACGCACACGCATAAGTGCACACGGACGCACGGAAGGGCTCAAAGGGGTAGCCAGTCCCGCCCACACACACACACAACTAGAGATTTTCACACGTCTTTCGCTCGATTTTACCTGCCAATCTGGTAGGATTCTGCTGCTTTCTCCTGGACATGGCGGTTCCCGGCGATGTTGTCCATGCACGGAGAAGTTTTGCGGCGAATTTCGCGGATTCTGGCGAGATGAGCTCCAGAAAATTTCGTCTGCATACCAACAAGGGTAAAGGGACCATTTATTTTGTCCCGAGTATGTAAATGAGGTGCTTATACATGCAGATACCTTGCAAATACGTAATAACGTAACAGAATAAAGTAAAATAAACGAGAAAGCAGGAGAATGCAAGAGAACACAGGAGATAGCAGGAGAATGCAAGAGAACACAGGAGAAAGCAGGAGAACACAGGATAAAACAGGAGAATACAGGAGAAAGTAGGAGAAAGCAGGAGAACACAGGAGAACACAGGAGAAAGCAGGAGAAAGTAGGAGAACACAGGAGAAAGCAGGAGGACACAGGAGAAAGCAGGAGAACACAGGAGAAACCAGGAGAATACAGGAGAACACAGGAGAACACAGGAGAAAGCAGGAGAATACAGGAGAAAGCAGGAGAACACAGGAGAAAGCAGGAGAACACAGGAAAAAGCAGGAGAATACAGGAAAAAGCAGGAGAATACAGGAGTAACCAGGAAAAAGCAGGAGAACACAGGAGAAAGCGGTAGAACACAGGAGAATACAGGAGAAAGCAGGAGAATACAGGAGAAAGCAGTAGAACACAGGAGAAAGCAGGAGAATACAGGAGAAAGTAGGAGAATACAGGAGAAAGTAGGAGAACACAGGAGAAAGCAGGAGAACGCAGGACAATACAGGAGAACACAGGAGAAAGCAGGAGAACGCAGGGGAACGCAGGAGAAAGCAGGAGAACACAGGAGAAACCAGGATAACACAGGAAAAACCAGGCGAAATCAGGAGAACACAAGAGAAAGCGGTAGAATACAGGAGAAAGTAGGAGAAAGCAGGAGAAAGCACAGGAGAAAGCAGGAGAATGCAGAGAAAGCAGGAGAACACAGGAGAAAGCTGTAGAATACAGGAGAAACCAGGAGAACACAGAAGAAAGCAGGAGAACACAGGAGAACCAGGAGAACACAGGAGAATGCAGGAGAATACAGGAGAAAGCAGGAAAAAGCAGGAGAATACAGGAGAAAGCAGGAGAACACAGGAGAAAGCAGGAGAATACAGGAGAAAGTAGGAGAAAGCAGGAGAACACAGGAGAACACAGGAGAAAGCAGGAGAAAGTAGGAGAAAGCAGGAGAACACAGGAGAAAGCTGTAGAATACAGGAGAAACCAGGAGAACACAGAAAAAGCAGGAGAATACAGGAGAAAGCAGGAGAACACAGGAGAAAGCAGGAGAATACAGGAGAAAGTAGGAGAAAGCAGGAGAACACAGGAGAACACAGGAGAAAGTAGGAGAACACAGGAGAAAAGCAGGAGAACACAGGAGAAAGCAGGAGAACACAGGAGAAAGCAGGAGAAACCAGGAGAATACAGGAGAAAGTAGGAGAAAGCAAGAGAATACGGGAGAAACCAGGATAACACAGGAGAAAGCAGGAGAACACAGGAGAAAGCAGAAGAATACAGGAGAAAGCAGGAGAACACAGGAGAAACCAGGAGAACACAGGAGAAACCAGGAGAACACAGGAGAAAGCAGGAGAACACAGGAGAAAGCGGGAGAATACAGGAGAAACCAGGAGAACACAGAAGAAACCAGGAGAATACAGGAGAAACCAGGAGAACACAGGAGAAACCAGGAGAACACAGGAGAATACAGGAGAAACCAGGAGAACACAGGAGAAACCAGGAGAACACAGGAGAAAGCAGTAGAACGCAGGAGAAACCAGGAAAATACAGGAGAAACCAGGAGAAATTTACTAGCTGTGGCCTTACATAGTGGCCAAGATGTAGTTTATGTAGGTTAGAAATAGTGTAGAGCATGACATCTTGCTCAATCTTTGTGTGTTATTTTCCTTTTCTTGTATTTCTTGAAAAAAAAACTTGTTATACGCTGTGACATCAGTAAATTGTAACCACTAAATAGTTATGCAAGAATACCTATTCCCCAAAATGAAATTCCTCCAGATTGCAACTTCTTGTCTGTATTTTCGACAGTCTGTCTATAAGACTCAGTATATGTATCAATATGCCTCTAATAGTTTTGATTCCTTTATATGAAATTTCCACCGTACTTTCTTTTCATCATCAGGTCTTAAATCTGCAACTGTGTTAAGGAAGAGAGAAGAAGTTGAACCTGTACATAGTAAATTAGTATACATTTATATTAAGACGCTATAGTAGATTTTGCTATCGTTATGTAATCAATGCGCTTACCTTTCATGACCTGTACTTAACTTGTGAGAGTATTAACGTACAATAAAAGTCAAGTCTGTCATTCATCATTCATCATTCTTTTTTTACCTTGCATTTTCTAGGCGCCCATCACTGTATACAAAAAAGAAAAGTATTTGCTTTCTCTCTTTCTCCTGCTTTTTCCTGCCTTCTCCTGTATTCTCCTGATTTCAACTGCTTTCTCCTAGTTTCCCATGGTTTCTCCTGTGTTCTCCTGCTTTCTCATTGTTTCTCCTTGCTTCTACCACTTTCTCCTGGTTTCTCCAGGTTTCTCCTGTATTCTCCCGCTATCTCCTGTATTCTCCTGCTTTCTCCTGGTTTATCCTGTATTCTCCTGCTTTCACCTGTATTCTCCAGCTTTCTCCTGTGTTCTCCTACTTTCTCCTGTGTTCTCCTGGTTTCTCCTGTATTCTCCTGGTTTCTCCTGGTTTCTCCTGTGTTCTACCGCTTTCTCCTGTGTTCTACCGCTTTCTCCTGTATTCTCCTGCTTTCTCCTGTATTCTCCTGCTTTCTCCTGTGTTCTACCGCTTTCTCCTGTGTTCTCCTGGTTTCTCCTGTATTCTCCTGCTTTCTCCTGTATTCTCTTGTATTCTCTTGCTTTCTCCTGTATTCTCCTGCTTTTTCCTCCTTTTTCCTGTATTCTCCTGCTTTTTCCTTGTTTTCTCCTGTATTCTCCTGCTTTTACCTGTATTCTCCTGTTTTCTCCTGCTTTCTCCTGTATTCTCCTGCTTTCTCCTGTATTCATTTGCTTTCTCCTGTATTCTCCTGCTTTCTCCTGTGTTCTCCTGCTTTCTCCTGTGTTCTCCTGCTTTCTCCTGTGTTCTCCTGGTTTCTCCTGTATTCTCCTGGTTTCTCCTGTATTCTCCTGCTTTCTCCTGTATTCTACTGCTTTCTCCTGTATTCTCCTGTGTTCTACCTGCTTTCTCCTGTGTTCTCCTACTTTCTCCTGTGTTCTCCTGGTTTCTCCTGTATTCTCCTGGTTTCTCCTGTATTCTCCTGCTTTCTCCTGTATTCTCCTGTGTTCTCCTGTATTCTCCTGTGTTCTCCTGCTTTCTCCTGTATTCTCCTGCTTTCTCCTATATTCTCCTACTTTCTCCTGTGTTCTCCTGCTTTCTCTTGTGTTCTCCTACTTTCTCCGGTGTTCTCCTGGTTTCTCCTGTGTTCTACCGCTTTCTCCTGTATTCTACTGCTTTCTCCTGTATTCTCCTGTGTTCTACCGCTTTCTCCTGTGTTCTCCTGCTTTCTCCTGTGTTCTCCTGGTTTCTCCTGTATTCTCCTGCTTTTTCCTGCTTTCTCCTATATTCTCCTGCTTTCTCCTGTATTCTCCTGTATTCTCCTGCTTTCTCCTGTGTTTTCCTGCTTTCTCCTGTGTTCTCCCGTATTCTCTTGCTTTCTCCTACTTTCTCCTGTATTCTCCTGGTTTCTCCTGTGTTCTCCTGCTTTCTCCTGCTTTTTCCTGCTTTCTCCTGTATTCTCCTGCTTTCTCCTGTATTCTCCTGTATTCTCCTGCTTTCTCCTGTGTTCTTCTGCTTTCTCCTGCTTTCTCCTGTATTCTCCTGCTTTCTCCTGTATTCTCTTTTGCTTTCTCCTGTATTCTCCTGCTTTCTCCTGTGTTCTCCTGCTTTCTCCTGTATTCTCCTACTTTCTCCTGTATTCTCCTGTATTCTCCTGCTTTCTCCTGTGTTCTCCTGCTTTCTCCTGTGTTCTCCTGCTTTCTCCTGTGTTCTCCTACTTTCTCCTGCTTTCTCCTGCTTTCTCCTGTGTTCTCCTGCTTTTTCCCGCTTTCTCCTGTATTCTCCTGCTTTTTCCTGGTTTCTCCTGTATTCTTCTGCTTTCTCCTGTATTCTCCTGCTTTCTCCTATTTTCTCCTGCTTTCTCCTGTGTTCTCCTGCTTTCTCCTGTATTCTTCTGCTTTCTCCTGTATTCTCCTGCTTTCTCCTGTATTCTCCTGCTTTCTCCTATATTCTCCTGCTTTCTCTTGTGTTCTCCTACTTTCTCCTGTGTTCTCCTGCTTTCTCCCGTATTCTCTTGCTTTCTCCTACTTTCTCCTGTATTCTCCTGGTTTCTCCTGTGTTCTCCTGCTTTCTCCTGTGTTTCTCCTGCTTTCTCCTGTGTTCTCCTGCTTTCTCCTGCTTTCTCCTACTTTCTCCTGTATTCTCCTGCTTTCTCCTGTATTCTCCTGCTTTCTCCTGTATTCTCCTGTATTCTCCTGCTTTCTCCTGTGTTCTCCTACTTTCTCCTGTGTTTTCCTGCTTTCTCCTGTATTCTCCTGCTTTCTCCTGTATTCTCCTGTATTCTCCTGCTTTCTCCTGTGTTCTTCTGCTTTCTCCTGCTTTCTCCTGTATTCTCCTGCTTTCTCCTGTATTCTCCTGCTTTCTCCTGTATTCTACTGCTTTCTCCTGTATTCTCCTGTGTTCTACCACTTTCTCCTGTTTTCTCCTGCTTTCTCCTGTATTCTCCTGCTTTCTCCTGTATTCTTTTGCTTTCTCCTGTATTCTCCTGCTTTCTTC